GACGGAGAAACAAGAGCCACGATACTAGATTTACCTGGAACCCATCGTCCAATGAACATATGGTTGCATTTGTAGGTGAGCAGGCATTACCATCCAGGGTTCCAAAATCTGACCTTCTTGTATATCCCACTCTTTCATCATGAAGTGTACAAGAACTACGAAACAATGGCCAAGATTATGAACAATTTGAAGGATAAGGTTAAAGAAAGGAAGAAACCGAAAGTTCCATGGCAGTTTTTCACAGTCCACATGCCGACTCCGGCGACCAAAGGCCCAGCTAGCGGAATCAGTTCTCAACAAGATGTTGCAAAGGAATCTGAACCGCTGTTCAAATCGGAACCCATTCAACTTTCAAAAACATCAACACTGCAAGAAATTTCCAAAGATGATCAGTCAAACACCGCAAAGTCTCGTTCGCCTGGTTCAACAGCATCGGGAAAGAGCCACACAAGTCAGGATGACAAGGTGTCCCTGCAAATGGATCTTCATATGACTGACGCAGAGATTGAAACGCCGCCTCAAATGATGTCCGAAAATACAAAAGAAAGGAAAAAGAATCACCGCATCAAGAACCTGAAATGCAGCAATCAGTGAAGCAATCCGATCAAACAAATCAAATCCGGGCCCTGGATTTGCGTATTTGAAGCTTTGGTGATAGTATGTTTGTTTGTTTGCTCGATTTGATGGTATTTGAATTGTCTCAGGGTTGTAAAATGAAACTATCGTGAAGCTATTTATATATTATTTTCTAAGCATTGCTATGGGCTCTTTTCTTCGTTATCCACACCGTTTTCTTACCTTCGATCGCCGGTTTTCTTGTTGATTCGTGATCACCTCATTTACTAATAGTTTATCAAGAGAGAGTAACGCCTCCTAAGGATACTGCGCCCTGCCGTATCCAGCTCTTCATGCATTCCAATTGCTCAAGGGTTCCTGATTTCATCAAGAGCCTCTGTGACGAGAGTGTTAGCTTGGCTTGACTGAAAGTTCTCTCGCATTCAGCTGCCATTGCGGGAATAGCAAGAAGGTCTAATGCAAGCTGACTAAGTGTTGGAAATAAGGTTTGCTGTGATATCCACCATTGTACAGGATCATCAACTTCTCGCGGTTGAGGTAGTTGGAGATATCGCTCAAGCTCGGAGATTTGATCAGGCTCCTTTGGCGTTGTGTTCGTCATCTACTGGTGGAACCTGGAGGGCTCCTTTCGTGATAAAAACATAGGCTGAGGAACCGGGGGGTTGGAGGTTGATCAATAACAAAGAGGTTATCGTGTTGACGATACCACTGCTCCCAATAGCGTTCCAAACCCTCAATAGCATTATCAAACCAAATCGCTTGATCAGGATCATTCCACCGCTTCTTAAGCCATCGGAAATTATATTGTGGATGTAGTATCACAGAAGCAGCGAAAAGGGGCGAGTCCCCAAGCTTTGTATAGTAATTGTTTAATTTCTTCCACGCATTTGTAATTGATAGCCGAAGATAGGCTTTGGAGTCAGCTTGAAGCCCTTGAAGTCGCCTGAATTGATCTTGCCGCTCGTCGGATTGGTATTCGGCTCGTATGTGCTGGGGGAGACTCTGCCACGAGGCCATCGGAAGCGACTGTGATCTTGGTGTATTTTGCTGTGATAATTGCCTTTGAGAACGTGTTGATGCCCTCTTTGTCACTAACGGCATTTGGCTTGAAGTCTGTTCAATTTGCTCGTCAGTTGGGCTATCAAAAAATGCCTTCCAAAACTCAAGATCATCAAGAAGATACTCAATGCCGGTCAGGACTTCCCAAAGCTGGCCAAATCCGCCGGCCTTGGCGCGGCTTTGACACTGCATTGTCTGCTCATAAAGAGGCTCGAGGATCGCCTTGACCTCTGTGAGAAGCCGCCAATCCTCAATTATGAGAACATCTTCATTTGGAATTCGATTCGATGGATCAGGCTCGAGCTGGCTTCCATGGATGAAGGCTTGGATGTGTGCCTGCTTTTTAATAGCACGATCAAGCATTAGATAAGTCGAATTCCATCGTGTATCGTTGTTCATAATAACCTCAAGCTCTTTATCCGATTCCTCGAAGAGTACAAAGTCCTCTGTATTAAGCTCGTGGGCGCTGTGTTGGAAGCGTTCACTTCGCTGTGGAGAGCTTCGAATAAACTTCACAATGTTCCGAAGCTTTCCAATTGGCCCCCTCCTTCTCCAATGCCTAAGATCTTTATCAATATCCTTAAGAGCCTCATAATGCTGTGATTCTTGCTCAAAGGTCTCACTATCCTCTCCATAAAGAAAAGCCCGACCAACTAGGTTAAGAATATGACCAAAGCATCGCATTCGACGGTCAGAAGCATCTGAGGGCATCATCATAGGGTTCAGAAGCTGGAAGAGATGTTGTATACAGGTATCATTATTTGTGGCATTATCACAGATAATAGTACCAACGCGATCTTCAATATCCCAATCTTGGATGACTTTATGGAGTGTTGATGCGATATTATTGCCGGTATGAGCCCCATACTGTTGCCGGAGGGCAAGAAGGCGATGTTGATGTATTCCATTAGGGTCTGTGAAGTGTGCAACAATGCCATTTATTGCAAGCCTATTTGGCGAGGTCCAGAGGTCAAAGCCAAGATGCACCTTCGTCAGGGCATTCTGAAGCTCATCACGAATAATTTTCTTATTGTCATTGAAGATAGTATCTAGCATTTGACGTTGGTTTGTTCTATTCAATGATAACCCAGAAAAAAGCTGCATATTAAGATCCATCATCAAGCTGCGGATAAAAGGATCGTCAAATGTATTGAACGCTTCATTGGAGTTGATGATATAACCAAGGGCTAGCTCATGAAGCTTATGGACTTGGTTCTTTGGAAAAACCGTAGATATTCGAGTTCGTTTCGGGGAGGCTGATCATCGGTATCAGAGCTTGTAGTCGAGCCGCCGGATAGAGATCGATAGATTCGATGAGCCCGTTGAAGATGCTCTTTTGCAGAAGTCGTAGCTGATGCCTTAAAGGGCTTAGAATGACCCATATGATCACATCGTCGGCAGACCCAGAAAGCATCGCCTAAGAGATAAGGTTAACTAAATAAAAACGCGATAAAAGAGAGCTTACCATATTGATCTAAAGGCGTAATTTCCCGTATAAAGATCCCTTCATTTACGATCCAGCTGGTCCGGCCTCGTAAGCCTTTCTTGCTCATCAAATCGTCGTTCACGTATCGTTTTCCCTTCCAAGTGGCGACCAGCATGTTATTGAAGGTCTCGCAAGCTCGAGGGTTATCTTGGGAGGGCGGTATTAGCTGCTGGATAATGCCGCGAGGGCGCGATGCATTAAAAACCGTGAGACTCATCGTCAAGGCCAGGGTAAGGTGGTTAAGGCTGTGATGTTGTAATTGTGGTGTTGATCATAAGAGGCATCACGAACGCGATGTGATAAAAACGCGAAAAAGAATAGTATGAGCTTAAACCTTATTGCCCAAAAAAAGGTAACTAACCAATCAAAAGCCCGTATAGTCTAATGGTATCGTAATTAGTCATAATAGCTAAAAGGTTGTAGGTTTAAATCCCAAGTTTATCCACCCAAATTCTATCATTTTGTACTAAAAATAGCTACGGAAAGGATATATTCCGAGACATTCTACCTACCCTAAATTTGATAAATATATCAAATATTCAGCCTTGAACAATTACTTATTTGGGACTGTGAATAGCTTTAAATTATTTGTTTGTTTGGTTGTTTGTTTATTATGTTTGATCGGATTGCTTCACTGGCAGCAATTAGAGGAACATGATTCAAAGGGAGGTCATAATGCTCTAAACAAAGCTCGTACTCAAGACGTAACGGAGCTTAGTCCCATGGACATAAAGTCTAAAGACTCACCTGAACAAGCTGTAATACAAAAACCAGAGAAGAAATCCAAGGTATTGAAGGCTAATACGAAATTACTGAATTTTATTACCGGTAGAGCGCCGAGAGGAAAGATCCAGGTCAATGATCTCGTCGCCGTTCCACGACAAAAGGTTGAAAACCCCCATGTGAATCTCATTAGGGGATACGGTATCCCTGATGAAACCGGGCAGCTAGGCCTCCAACCCCGAAGAACTCTTGATCAGTACTTTTACCCTTACCTAGATAACACCTTACATCGAGATAAAGATCAAGTTGTCTATCGCTACACAAACCAGCATCAGAATGACGCCAAGATATTCATGGTAGATCAACTCTGGCTTTGGATCCTAAATGGAGGCAAGTAGAGCTATGCTGGTTGGATTCTTGTACTCTCTGCTAATCCTTCAGATACCATTATTACCTGTTGTCCTCTCAAATGGCAGTCGTGGGCAGAGCAATTCGATAAGGCAACAATGCGTCCGGCCTTTCCTCCACAAACTGATTGTCCTCCAGTTATGAGATTGTCGCAGGTCGCAGAGCATGAGGATTCAACACTACCAAAGCTCATATGGGATGATCCTATGAACGTCCACCAGAGGGTTCTTACGCACCTCAAGGATACCGTGAGAAAGCCCATCACATCCGTCTACGACCTAGCAAGTCTAATAACTAATTCGTGTATCAGTACCTTCGACGAGCATCGGATTCCGGAAGATTACCATTTCTTTGACTTTTTTGAACGGTCTATTAGGATTGTAGTACGTCAGGCTAATACCTTCTGACTTTTGGCGGATAGTGGTACTTAACCATCACTGATAGAATGAGAGGACGATGGGTCGTCTAAAGAACTTTCGAGAAACCCTCCATTCAGCGGACACACACAACAACGACAGCAGCGGCGACAGCAGGGCAGCATCCCGATCAAGTCTAGTCATCAAGTCTATCAATCAATCAATCAAGTGAGGCTATTCCCAATTATCAATCAGTCAAGTTTAAAAAGTCCAAAACTTGATAGACTTGACAAGTATAGGGTAGGATTTTTTTACGGATTATAGTTATTCCGATGCTAAAAATAGCAAAAAATAGTAATTATATCACCTTACGATGATACAATTAAAATTTACGCTCATAACAGGATTCGAACCTGCACTTCTTAGCCTAAATGACCAAGCGTTATACCACTAAACCATATAAGCTATTGTTATCTTTTCTTTTTCCTTTTCTTTACTAAGTAACATACACATCAGCTATTAGGAATTTGATAACACCAATAACACGAAATCGCGATGCGTATCCGCCACATCAACGTCACAACAACATACCTTCCTTCGCACATACGCCCTCAATACCAATGAGCCTGACGGTTTTTGGGGCATCGCGCCCTTCTAGTATTCATTCGCAATTCGCTACTGCATCGCAAGTTACCCCATTGTCCGATTTTAACCCCAACGGCCGCGATACAATCGAGAACCTCCCGACTGCAATATGGCGAGGCCGCCGCTTTGTCCTTGAGGAAATGATATCAAGAAAGGGGTCAAGAGGTCGTACAAGCTGGATCAGAAAGGAAGGGCTCTTTGTTCAGGAGATTCTTGCGGATAACAAGCCAGGTATCTCCTCCTAAAATAAAAAATCCCTTCTTATATTATATACCTTTGCATACTGATTTATATCGTGCAGGCGATGTGTTTTGGATATGTCGACGATGTGATGAAGATGGGAGCCTCCTTAAGCCTCTCAAATCAGCGGCAACAACTGCTGCAACTGATCATCTCAAAAAGAAACACCGTATCGAAGAGCATAATATAACCGACTCATCTTCTAGCTCACAAGCTAATACTACCCCTGCTCCGTTCAAACGACCTCGGAATAAAGAGACGCTTCATACACGATCATATATACAAAAGCTTGAAGAGCTTCTCCTTGCTTTCTTGATCAATAACGATCTACCGTTCTCGGTCTTCGAGGATCCATATATTCGAGAATTCAGCTACCAACTTGAACCCGATGTAACAAGCCAGATCTCGTGGAGTAGAACAAGACAGCGGCATAGCCTCAAGTCCTTATTCAACTCAAAGAAAGGAATCATTCAAGCCGAGATGCATAACGCTATTACAAGAATACATCTTGGGTTTGATCTATGGACCTCACCGAATCGACTCGCGATAATGGCTGTTACAGGACACTTCCTTGATCATAGTGGAAAGCAACAACAACGCCTTCTTGCTCTTCGGCAGCAATCAGGAGCTCATACTGGAGAGAATCTTGCAAATACCCTTCTACAGGCTATACAAGACTGGGATATTAACAATCGAATCGGTACCGTTATATCTGACAATGCCTCAAATAACGATACCTGTACTCGAAGTCTCTTTCATCAACTGGACCCGCGGATGACTTCAATTGATGCAGAAGAGAGGCGAATGCGATGTTATGGCCACATTCTCAATCTCGTTGGCCGTGCTTTTTTATATCACGAAGACAGTGAAGCCTTTGAGCAAGAGTCACAGCTTTATTATATGGCCGATCGCCTTGATGATGATCTTCGTCATTGGAGAAAGAAAGGCCCTGTTGGAAAGCTTCATAATATCGTTACATTTATTCGGGCCTCGCCTCAACGAAGCGAGCAATTCAAGAAAGCAGCCGAAGAAGTTAATGATGATGGTGTCTTTACTTTATCAGATGTATCATCTCGAGAGCTTGAGCTTGTTACAAACAACGAGACAAGGTGGAATTCTACATATCTAATGATCGAACGTGCTCTTCTCAAGCGGGCACACATCCAAGCCTTCATCAACGATCATCAGTTTGGTACTAACCCTCAGATGTGTATCCATCAGGATGATGTTCTCAGTCATGAGGATTGGCGAATTCTAATAGAGATCAAGGCAATCCTTGAACCTCTATATATGCAAACAATGCGTTGTCAAGGATGGGGTAAAGGAGGTAGCCATGGGCGCCTTTGGGAGGTTCTAGCCGGCATTGAGTTTCTGCTTCAACACCTTGAGGATTGGAAAGCTATATATACATCGCCAACTGACGAGGAAATCGAAGAGACTGAAAGCCAAATGCAAATCGCACTATCTGCTGAACCTCGTCGCTCTCAACGAACTGTTTCCCGCCTCGAATCAATGTTACGGCCTCAAAGCCCAAGATCACGATCCTCTCGAACGAATATAATAACCACACTCCCTGTACACACAAGAGAAGAATACTTAAGCTCTACATTACAGTCTGAGCAGTACTCTTCCCTTCGAAAGAGCTCCAAAGCATATCTTCGACTTTCTATTACAATTGCATGGCAAAAGCTCAATGACTATTATATTCGGCTTGGGGAATCACCTCTTTTTGCTGCAGCAATAATCCTCAATCCTGAATATAATATTCGATGGCTTGAGCGAATGTGGGATAGCGATGAGCAGTTGATATGGCTTCGTGATGCTAAGAAGAGCCTTACGAACTACTGGGAGCGTTGGTACTCTCATGACAATGATACTAATATATATAATCAGCCTTCAAATAACGAGGATTTCTTGACGGTAGCTTTACGGGTAAAGGAAAATGATCCCTATGAGCAATGGCTTGGAAAGAGCAAGGCCCAGCCACTTAATAATATCTCAGAGCTAGAAAAATACCTTGACCTTGATTTGCAAGGCGTTGAAGATCCTGTTAAATGGTGGATATCACAGCAGCAGGCCTTCCCAACCCTTAGCAAGCTTGCATTAGACTTGCTTGCAGTTCCCGCGATGGCAGCAGACTGCGAGAGAGCCTTCAGCCTCTGCAAGCTAACGCTATCATCTCAACGGCTCTCAATGAGGTCGTCAACACTCGAGATGCTACAATGCTTGAAGAACTGGCTACGGACTGGTGCAATTTCGCTTGGGGGCGGCTTTGCTATACCAAAAAGGCCAGGCAGTGTATAAATCAGCTTCAACACCAAAGAAATCTGGATACCAGAGTCCCACGATAGTATTGATCGGTTATGAATAGCTTCACTTGACAAAATACACTTCAACACTAAGAGAAATTCAGTATTACAGCATTACATGACCTTGACCTGTTGGGAATAGTCTCGCCCTATCAAGCCTACCAAGTTCAATCAATTCTAGCAAGTCTAACAAGTCTGGCCCTCGCGGTCATCAAGTCTCGCAAGTTAAGGTGGCAAACTTGACTTGATTGATCGGGATGCTGCCCTGGGCGACAGCGGTTCACTACATGATGATATGAAGTTTACCATTGAGATAGATCTGCTGGTTGAGATTGAGGATATCGAAGATGAACTTCGTATTTTACACCAAGTTTTGGAAGACCAGCAAACGACGGTGAAGCAGCTGTCTGATACTTTCGGCAATGTTGGTTTAGAACAAGGCATCCCTCTGGATCATAAAAGTATTAAGAGCTACCTTTTACATGTGGGGAAAATGCAAGACATGGCTAAAAAGGCTCGGGATTCGGTATGTTTATTGTTAAAGGCATGACATGCAGCCGTTCTCTGGCTAATGAGCGCGTGTTTACAAGCTTCATCACCTCATTGATCTGAAGCAGAAACAAGCCAACTCCTTAGAAGTTGCTGTTGCGACTAAACATGCAGAATACCAGAGAAATCAAGCACAGGAAGCAGCCAGACAGTCCAAAATCCTGATGGTGTTTACCGTTGTCACAACTGTCTTTGTATGTCATTCACCTTTTATCCCCCCCCCCTTCTCTCCCTCTGTCTATTGTTTTTCTTCAACATATGCTGACTATGTCTAGCTACCATTGTAATTCATGTCAGCTTTCTTTACGATAAATATTGACACATTTCCCACGGACAGCAATGGAAAGCTCGAGTTACGCTATGTTCTCAAATACCTACGTAAGCTACAAACACCCCAGACCTATCGATCGAAGGATTAATTAACAGTCGAATGCGACAGTAAGCATTGAACTTGCTGCTGCTATCCCATTGGTATGGCTCGCCTTTAAGATTGATCAAGTCACCCGAACTATGAAAAGGCTGGGCAATGTTAGGCTGCCTCACCTTTCTTCAGCCACTAAGAAAGTCATTGCCTGTTGCCTACTGGTCCTTATGCCTCTTCTTATTATTATCTGGAAGTCCCACCTGACTCAAGGTATTAAGCTTACTGTCACGATTTGCATGGTCATTCTGATTTTATGTTGGTTGTTGGTGGTGGCCCTAAGGTACATCATAAACAGAAGATCTAGACAATCGTTGACAGTGACAACTAGCAACAGTAGAAACACCAGTAGTCTCATTAGGTAGCTTTGAACAAATTAAAGAATGTATCAGGGGAAAATAGAGCTGAAAGATATAGACAATTCACTGAGTGGATGGGTGGCAACGATGGTGGTCGAATCGTCCGCTCCAAAATGAACACCGCAAGGAATATGGAGAAATTAAGAAACACAGCCGCCCATCCCAAACCCATGGAGACTGATCCAACATGGCCTTTCACGACACCGGCGGTCATTCTTTTACTCACTGCGATGGCAGCGGCGCTAGATAGATGCTGCCAAAAGACAGTAAGGCAAGTCATGAGTGCCGATATACCCAAAAGAACAAGAGTAGTTCGGGATACACGCCTTGCCGCAAATGCCGGCACTCGATTCCGGCCGCCCTCACTATCCCTAGGAGCCTGGTTTGAATACCAAAGTGGAATAGTGACTACGTGCAAGAATTCCAGAACGCCAAACGTCAAAGAAATGAACCTAGAAGGATCAGAGATGCGTGGGGTAGATAGATGGTGATGATGCTGAAAGAGAACTCACAATAATTCATCAAAGACAACTTCATCCTTGAACTTTTGAGCGATGCCGATCAAATTCAGAGGATCAGACGACACATTCGAAGCGCTCGCCTGCATGGTCACATATCGAAGCACGCTCGCCACTGAACTCGCCTGGGTTGAACACGTCCAGTCCCCGAATGGTAAGCTGGCACACACACCCATGTAGCCTGCACGGACTTGTAGGGATGTTTGGTTGCCGGCTAGGTTGACCAGGATCGCCGCGAGCGCCGAGTCTGTGGAGTTGGCTTTGAAGGGATCGGCGGGAGAATAGTAGAGGGATATGAGGTAGACGCCGCTGAACTTTGATGTGGTGCAGGAGGCGAGGATGAGGGCTAGGTGAAGAAATTAGCCGAAGGTGTGAGTATAGAGTCGTTCGGAAAAGACTATTTACAGAGGAAAATAGCCTCAGT